GGGCAAACCCTTGTACTTTTGCCAGACATTATTGTCTAGATGTTCGAGCTCGGCAGGATTGCTCCTTTGGCAGAGCTGTTCTTTTGTCTATTCTTCACTGAGGACACCTCCCCTCCTCCTTTATGGTAAGCTTGTTAATCTTCCCATATGTGTGATGCACAGAGGCCACGACGAAGAAGAGCAGGTTGTTCTTCGAGTTATACTTAATTTGGTCCAGAGATGATGATAGAATGAATCATAAGCAATTGTGTATCTATCACATATGCTTCAGTTTTCTGTAGAAGGTTTATCCTTGTTCTATTGTCTCAGCTAAATTCCTTAGATGTCAACAATATCCTGGAACAATCACTTCCTCCCTCTGGAGCTGTCTTTTCTCTGGGTGCAAGCAGCCATGCACAAACTAGCCCTCTTCTCACATTACTGAGGAGAACCTAGGAAGCTGACTCAAGCTGAGTTAGACCATTGTTGCATATACTCCAGTATTGCGAAGAGGCAGGAGTCTTCCCTAGCCTTACCTGGAGTTGCTGGGAAGCAAACCAAGGACCTTCTTCATGCAAAGCACATGCTTTCCTATTCAGCAGAGGCCCTGCCCAAAGGGATGCTCACACCATCAACGGGCTGTACCACTTATCCTGCAAATGAGGCTGTATGTGGCATCCATGTGCTTGTCTATTAGGCATGAATATCTGCAGGGGGAAATTCTGTATTTATAGATATCTAGTGTAGACTTCCTGCAGACAAAGAACCCATGCCTAATGTTTGGATAGTGCAGACAGAACCAGGGAAATCCATCATCTCTTATCTGTCGTGAGTGGCACCGCACCTTGACCACATGAGCATCCCTTCAGCTTGAATAATATGTGATGGGGTGAATGACTACTTTGAAAACTCTTTTTTCCCATGAAGAGAAAAAAATGGAGTAAATGTTTTAATTTGGAGACTTTTTAAACTTAACAACATTCAGGCAGCAATAGCGATAAATTATTTTTGTACCCGTGAAGCTGCCTTAGGAATTATGCCCATACGAATTGTTCCTCCCACCTTTTGAGGGATCATCTGTGGGTTCCCCACAGTCTTGGCCAGTGTGAGAACAGAATGCTGGAGAGCAGCTGTAGTTTTGGACTGATGCAGTAGGATTTTTCTTATGATCTCATCACACCTGCAAACCATTCTTCCATGTGGACATACCTACTCACTACAGTGCTAGAAACCCTGCTGAGGTGTGAGAAATGCAGGCATGTCAAAAATGGGATTACCAACTATGTGGTCAGCAGGCATGTGGACACCACCCCGCTCCTGCCTTGCATGATCGCTGAAAATATGGGGGGAAGCTTTAAATCTATATACTGCTACTGAGTGAGAACTTTGGTCCCTCAAGCTGTCAGGCAGCTGCTGCTCAAGGATTCTTCCAGCCCTGCCCTTCCAATCAGATTCCCTTTTAGGTTGGGATGGGCAACTTGTTGCCCTCCAGATATTTTGTCCTACATCTCCGTTATCACTCAGCATCAACAATACTGTCTAGGACCAATGGAAACTAGTCCAACAAGGTCAGGAAAGTCACATTATGTTTTAGGTGGATACAACTGAACCTTCGACATTCTGCATCCAAAGCACTTTCTTCACCTCTGAGCTACAACTCCTTCTCAAGCATCTAAATGCATTACTTTACCAGTAAAGGTTTGACTTGCAGACACCTTGAGAAGCTAAGAAACCCAGCATTCATCAGAAATAGGGAAAACACCTTTTGCAATTAAGATGTTATTTTTATTTTTTAGATTTTGCATGAGAACACTATTAAAAATCAATCTTTTCTCCTGCAAACTCTAACTGGATAGCTACATTTTCAACATCTGCTTTATAAATATAGGGCATTTTTTTCAGCTAACCTTTTCTTAAATTTGGACAACTGGCTTTCTAGTATTCATTTCTTTCTCCCAGCAAAAGTAGTTCTTAAGAGTTAACAGCACAACATTGTCATTATTTCCTGTCTTTTATCTGAATACATATCCTGCCTGAAATTCCAAAAGGTTACATTAAGTCAGATTAGTGCAATCAGGGGAAAAGCAGGGCAGTGTTTTCCTGTACATTCATATCTTGAAGCCAAATGCCCTGAGGAAAGGTAATTCCAGCTTTCTCCTCAGACAAAAGAAAAGGGCAGTTATGACTGTACAGATAAGTTTTGGGAGCAGCCTATAAGATGGTACATGTCTGATTTTTAAGTCAAGTATGAATCAACTCTAAGAGAATGGCCATATTCACCAGCCTCATGGTTTGAAATTGGCTTGTTTTGACTAGTGTTTGTGATGCAAAATGATCCCCAGATCACACACATGCTATCTTTCTGCGTAAGGTGTTTATGGTGCATGTGTGATTCCCCACCATACAGATGAGGAAAGTCTCGTAAATTCCTGAATGTTAGAATGAAACCCTAAAGTATTTGTGAAATTCTGTTAGCCACCCCTCAGTGGTTCTGTAATGTGACTTATAGAGAGGCAGAGAAAGAACATTCCTAAAGGGAAAAAGCACTGCTGCTGCCAGTTCTTTCCCCTTTCTTTCTTACAACTGAAGAGTCATGAGCCCCTTGTTGTTCTGTGACATGGCCACTGAATGCTGATTAACAATCAGCAAGCAGGAGCAGCCAGGAGGAACAAAGAACATGCCTAAGGACAGCGTTAAAGTGGGGATCAATGTTTTGATCAGGAGACTGTCATAATAAAGAGGGGGAGAGAAGCACATTGAGGCCACAGTCCTATGCGTATGTACTTAGAGGTAAGTGTATTGAATGGGAAAAGCTTTCATGTTCATATGGATAGGATTGCAGCCTCTAATGGAAAGCAAATGGAAAGTCAGGAAGCACCTTAATATTCAAACTGATTGACAAGAAGCAGCCTTGGAGAGTTGCAAAGGTATGCTGCTGCTTTAAGAAATGGATGCTTTTGGGGGAACTATATTTTTCTATTGTTTCTTTCAAGAGGCAGCATAACTATCTAGTGCCTTCCTCTTGCGAAGGAAACGCCTTTCAAAGTCTACCCTGAACGCACTGAAGGAAATGGAGGGCACAATGCCATAGTTCTAATGTGGAGCCGTCAGAGCTGCCCTCTCCACTCTCAGAACCACTGCTTCCTATAGACAGTGGAAATTGGATCCTTCCCAAACAGTAGCAGCATTTTTCTTCCATGCAGGATGTACTCCTACCATGAGGAGCCTGACCTTGCCCTTCATTTTCCGTGATGTTTGTCTTTGGTTTAGGAAGCAGTTTTGGTGACTTAAAAAAAGGGACACTTCTTTGCAATGGATTATAATAGTCATGCAGTGAGAATGGAGGCTGTTTTGAGAAAAAGCATTTCTCACAAAAAGAAGCATCCAAAAAGCTACGTTAGAATGCAGGGCAGAGAGCAACAGAATGAAATTCAATAGGGGTAACTGCTTAGGGTCATCTGAAAGGCAAAGTTTTGATCCCACTTGCGGCTGATTTTGTGGTATGGGAGGAGAGGGGCTTCACCTTTTCTGTGGTTCCAATATGAACCCCCATGATATCTCCTACTCCCATTTCTTATACACTCAAGCTAGGAGCTAAGGAAATTTGTTTGGTTGCTTCTGAGCTTTCAGTTGCTTTTTCTCACCAATCTCTGAGAAGAGAAGGGAATAATGAGTGAATTGTTAGCTTTGGAAGAAATCCAAGTGTTTCTGTAGTTGGAATCCCTGGTACTGTAGTCCAATCTCTTTCTGGAGTTACTAGGCAAATTATGATTATGATTATTAAAAATCAGTTCAGAGAGGAAAACACAGTTCTAACCACTACTGGGGAAAATGCAAGCTGATCTGATTAATATCCATTTCTGTGCAGTGCCACCTTCTCATACCATCCTACCTTGCTCTCCTCAAGTGTTCCTGGACTGCATTTTGTTCCTTTCTCTGTGGGAAGAAAAATCAGACTCTACCGTCTTGGAAGGACTTGTCCAGTTCCATTTCAAGATAAAAAAGAATGGTTGCCATCAGCAGGTAGCACCTGGACAGCAGGCTGCACTAGTAGCACACCGGCTACCTGCTCACCATTTCCCACAGTTCAGTGACATATATTCTATATGCATTGCAATAATTATTTCAGAAATTGTATCTACAATATAAATGAGCATATGCAGATTTTTCTCTTTTTGATGATACATTTCTTCCTGCCTGCATTGTAATTCTCAGAAATGCCTGACAATAACTCTTTCATTGCAATGCTACAACATCCACTGTTAAAGTTATAGATGGACCCCCTGCTGATAATGCCTAAGACTTGGTCATTATGGTGGGGTTGCTCCAAGTTCCTGCTTGACGAAGTCTCATCAGACACTGCTAATGGCTCTCTGGTTGTGGAGCAGGTGGTGGAAGTGCTGAGGTGGGAAAGCAAACATGGTAACCACTGAACCCCATCAATTATTATTCTTTACTGTTATGTATTTCCTTTCTCTGCCACCCAATAGCCAAAGCTTTCTGGTCATTTACAGCATGTTAGAAAAACATGGGAATTGAGTAGGGAGATCATGCCACAGTGGGAGGATAAAGATTAGTGGTTTGTCCAAGACTCCTTACAACATAGGAAGACAAGGTAGACAGCCTGGTGACATCCAGATGTTTCCATAAGCCCCAGTCAGTGTGGACAATCTTCGCTGAACGTGAGCATTGTAGTCTGAAACATATTTAACATATGCACTTGATCTTAGCCAAAAGGTTGAAGAAGTGATTGACTGGTATTTAAATTATGTTTTAAAACACTTAAAATAGTAGGATAAAATGGGCTCTAGAATGGAATAATAGCAATGAAGATATAAAGACATGGGATAAGACTGATTATCCAAGGGAGAAATTGGCCAAAGTTCTAGGCCCATCCTCTGAAAAGGATGGAGGGAAGATAATGCATGTTCAGGTGGAAGAGTGAGAAGGGTTCTCATTCACCTCACACAAGAATAAAACACTGGGTTACAGCCTTATACAATATCTCTTTTCTCTTCTAGGATGATACACAATTCAGTGAACTCCATTGGGAGATTGTTTCACAGAAGCAAAAAGTAATTCCTCAGTAATACTTGCCAGTCTACACTGAACAGACTGCTGCTGCTACCAAATTTTCAGACAAGAAGAATCCACCAAACAAATCAGAAAGAAAAAAAGTGGGAGGACAGGACAGGAATGAAATTATTTGGCACTGATGTTCTCTTGACTTCACATAAAAGCTGTGTGAATGTAATTTGCCAATTTCAAGCTAAATGGCTCAAATGAGCACAATCTCAGTAAAATTTCCTGTTATATGGGCACTAGTCCAGGATTGGGAGGAATCTGAGTGCAATTTCACCCACAATTTTCTTGTCCAGTGCACCTGCTATTGCCAGGAGAACAGGAACACTCATGAGCAACCCAGCATTTGCATGGGTTGTTGGCTGCCCAAAGTTTGTATTAGATACTTTTTGGCAGCTGCCATTTCTGCTCCCATCAATGCTCTAGCTACATCCCCCACCCCAAATATCTGCAGGAGGACCAAGTGTGGCGAAGTTATGTACCCTGCTGTGCCAGATCATCTGTCAGGCACAGGGAAGCCCCTTCAGAATTTAAATCATTGTGCATGGTTAAAATTCCCAAGGGGTTTAGGGTGTAATGCGAACCCACCCACCCAATATCTGTCTTGGTCCTATGGTGGGGCCCTAGACTTCTGCCCCAACATTCTGACCTGATGACACCACTACCCTCATTATAAGCTCCTTGCTGGCTACCTCGATTAAAAATAAAAACAGCACCAACTGTCACACTGAATATATGGAACTGTTTCCTATATTTTATGAAAAGGAAATAAAAGGGAAAAAACCATTGCACTGAATACATGAAAATATTTGCTGTATTTCACTTAACAGAAACCAAATAAAGAAATTTTCATAAAAAACGGATAGGATGCTTTTTATGGGGCCCTTTCGGCTTTTCTGTCAAAATAATATGTTGCCAAAGAATCTAAAATTCTGATGGGAAATTGCTGCAGGTGGCTACACTTTGATGTTCTTTTAATAAAAATAATGAATGCATGAACAGATTAATGAAATTTGGATAGCATTTTAAGCTTTTGCAGCAATGCAGTGATTTAACTTAATTTAGGTGTACTTTTCAAAATAAACTTTTTGGAAATGGTAGTCTCTGGATTCCCCCTCACGGATGCACACTTTAACACAGTGAGAGTTTTTGAGAGTGTCAGAGAAGCTATAAGCAATCCCACCAAGTGGCCAAATTGTCTTCTCAGCATGGTCTCCTAGCTGGGTCACCCAAGGCAGAACCATCAAGCAGAGACACCAGCCTAAGATGCAGCCACCCTCTTCAGAAGTAACAGTCAATCAGCAAAAGAGAATGGATCTTTCTAATGCTGGGAGAACACAAAATCCGACTGTCTTATATCAGTCAGAATCTGTGGAAAATGTATTAACAATAACCATCATTCACATTTATGCTCCAACAACAGATGCTGAAGAAGGAGAAATTGAAATGTTTGTGTAGATGTTCAGGAGAAAATGGGCAACACACCAAAACAAGACATGGTAGGAATCCTAGTTGACTGGAATGCAAAAGTAGGAAACAAAGCAGAATCAAAAGTTGTAGGAAAATTTGGCCTAGAGGTAAGAAATAAAGCAAGAGAATGACTCAGAATTCTGTATAGCTAACAATCTGCTTATCACAAATACATATTTGAAGCAGCCACTCAGATTACTATATATATAGATATCATCAGATGACAAAGCAAAAATCAAATGGACTAATTAATTGGAAGCAGGAGAAAGAGAAGTCATATTCTCACTGCCCTCAACACTTGGTCATCCCAATGCATAAACTGTATTGTAGATGAGAAGCTGCTGTAAAGACAGAATATGGAGGCCTAGGATGCTTTCCTATGGCAAAGGCATTGGACGGGGGTGTATTTTATCTCCCTATCTGTTCAGTCTATACACAGAACATATCATAATAGCTGGATCAGAATCCAAGGAAGGAGTCAAAATCCATGGAAGGCATGCCGGTGATACCATTTTATTGGCAGAAAGCAACGATTATTAGAAACTACTCCTGATAACAGTGAAGGAAGAAAGCACACAAGCAGAACTGCAGCTGAATATTAAGGAAATAAAAATCATGACTATAGAAGAATTACAGAACTTTGCTGTTTAACAATGAAGAAATTAAAATTGTACCTTGGCTCGGTCATCAATTCAAGAGGAGTCTGAAGTCAAGAAATCAGAAGAAGATTGAGACTTGGAAGGGCAGCAATGAAGGAGCAAGAAAAGATCATCAAGTGTAAGGATGTTTCATTGCACACCATGGCTAAGATCACTCACACTCTTGCATTCCCAGTTACCACATTCCAGCACTAGACTGCTCATCTAGTCTGAAAAAGGAATAAAGAGGGGAGACATAAGCACAACAGCAACACCATCTGCCTGCACATGATGTACAGATTGGTGCCAATGTAGTAAGTGGGTAGTCTGTTTCCTTTCCTTTTCTTAAGCAGAACTGATATGATAAAGACAGAGAGTGGGGAGGCTTACTGAAATTAACGTTCTACTTTCTCATCCAGATCGGAAGGCAATCATTTTTCAAAGTCAGCTTTTTCCTATACAGGAAAGTGCAAAGTTTATTAAGACAGATATTTTGCATATATATGTGCACACTTGCAGTTTCAGAGGCCTACTGTACAGAAGTGGCTTTCATGCTTTATGCCTTTAGAGAACTTCTGTGGAGGATTCTGTGAAGCATTGTTTTTTCTGGCCTGTTAACTCCTATGCATTTATGCACAAACAGAACAGCAGAATATCAGTGTCCATGTCTGTCAGGGAAGGTTGTCTTAGTATTATTGATTTTTTCCATATACTCTCATTGAAGGAAGTTATGGAGCAACAAAACAGTTTGGAATGCCCTCCCTACAGGTTTATGTCCAGAGGTGTGTTCAACTTATTTATGTGCCCATTTTAATGTTGCTGTTTTGATTAGGTTGCTTTGGTTGTTTTTAGCCACTGCTGCATTGCTTTATGAAGACTGCTTTAATTTTATGCTGTTGTACTGCTGTTATGATTTGTCTTATTGTGTACTCCTCCAGGTTATGCGAGGATGACAGACAGACTAAAATATTCTTAAACAAAGCCTTCTTGTTGGAGAATCCTTTTGAGCATCCTACAATTACTTGGGAATTCCTAGAATAGACTGAATAGCAAGTCCATAGGTGAAGAAACAACCTGAATTTACAGCAGCAAATTTATCTTCAGGGAACTGATCCCACCTTTCCATGCGTGTTTCTACATGTGGCCTTTGTTATTCTTTTGTCATGATCCACGTAATTTTTCTAGCAGTCCAGACCACGGGTGTGTGAGGAATGTGTTTGGTGGGTGGGAATCCTTTGGATTCCTTGGGCTTGGCTCCTCGAATCCCAGTCTGCTTTGCTGCAACCCTGAGCCCAGGCTTCTGGTGAGTGCCCCCAGTGCTCATGGGGCGCTTGCTAGGAACGGAATGCTATCCATCTTCTGCTCCACATGCAGCAGGCCCTTGTGCAGCACTTGCCAGGAATGGACTCCCCTGTGTATGCTGCACACACGGTATCCATCTTTCGTGGCACGTGTTGCTTTGTGTTGCTGCTGCATGTGACACTGAAGAAAGCAGTCAGTTGCACATCCTTTCTTCTATGACACTTTGTGAGATCCCTCAAGGGTCAGCTCAGCTTTCTTTCTAATGGTACAGATTATGTAGCAGGCTACAGAATTGCCTGCATGCCATGAGAAAAGACAATACTGGAAGCTTTTTCAAGACCAAAGTACAGCACATTGCTTTCCAGAGCTACTGCTAAACACATGCTGGGTTAAGAAGGTCATCCTTCTTGATATTGTTGTGCATTTTTTCTGAGGTCATCCATGGTTGCACAAAGTGCAAGGAGGCAGAAAACCAAACACGCAGTCCTAAATGAAACCCTTTTCACCCTACTGGCAGCATGCGTGTACCTCATATTGACTTCAGGCAGTTTTCTTCCAAATTTCCCCAGCATTTTCCACTGACCTGAGCTGTGAGAGTTCATGGGAGATTTGCAGTTATTTTGGCTCTTTTTCAGAAGCTTCTACCCAGCCCAATCCAATCCATATTTATCTAGAAGGAAGTGAATCTAATAAGACTTACTTCAAGTATGTAATTCTTCATAAGGCTTTTTTTCTAAGTCACAAATTAAATATGAAGAAATAACCACTGAATTATTATTGAGACTTTTTTTTTTAAATGGGAAAAATCTGTAATACAGGGTTAATTTAAAACCCCAAGTTTTGTGTTTCCAGTCTTTTGCAATTTTTTTCTGAACACTGCAGCTTCCATTTTTAGCAGGCTAACAAGTCATGAGAAAAATCCTCCCACTAATAACAAAGAATGAATATATCAGATTTCAGAAGGATGTTCTTTAGTTCAATCACAGCAACTCGATGTGGCAGTCATGGTAATTTTTTTTAAAAAAATCCCTCTGACAAACTTTACAGTGCAATCTGCCATATGGCTACACAAAAGTTTGTTCCACTGAATTCAGCAAAAGTCACCTCCAAGACAGAATATGCAAGACTGCAAAACAGTTGCACTATACATTTCATGCCACACAGAATTAGCAGTTCAGGACTGAATTTCTTTAAGGAAATGTCTAATTTTAAACATGTTTGCCTGGAAGCAAAACTCTGACCTTTCAAAATCCCTCTCAGATATTAAAACATCTCTTCGTTCTCACTCCTGAAATGAAGCTGTAAAGCTTTATATCCATGCATATTAGGGTAATACATTTATTAAGCCAACCAAAAGACCACTAAAAAGTGTACATTTTTGAATTCTACAGATGTCTTCATGGGCCAAGTTGCTACAAGAAGTGGGGTGTGTGTGGTGGGGAGAGGAAGCAAACCCCTGACTTGTTCAATCATGGCATAGGACACAAGGGGTCTGGTCTTGGAGCACTAGCCCAATCAAGCACAACAAAGATGAGAGGGAAAAATATTGATTTTGAGACTGGGCAAGCCCCTACATGTCCAACAATGGTTTTTCCATAATTACAATAATATTTATTATCCTTTATGCATTAATTTCTATATCACTCAATAGCCAAAGCTCTCTCTTCACCACTAAAGGAATTCACATGGACATTCACTGTAGTTAAACAATTTTTTAAAGGAGAAGTAATGCAAAGTATTATGGGGTTGTAAATCACTAGCAAATGAGACTGCCTTTCCACCATGGAGGAGGAGGAGGAGGAGGAGGAGGAGGAGGAGGAGGAGGAGAATATAGGGGTTCTATAATTATAGCATCAACTATTTCTTATTATATTGTGTATTGTATTTATGTTCAGAGATAAAACAATAACGAGGAAAGTGATCTTATGGCCCTAGACACTGTCGGAGGGAACCATAAAATATAGTCTGGATTCCAATGTCTGAAGCTAGGGACAGATCTCTAGCCCTGGAGCTGAGAATCTGCACACCAACCTTGCACATCTGCCACCTGTCAGCCAGCATGGAAGAAAATGTGTTGACTGGCTCTCTGAGATTGGCAATAATACCTCAGGGTTAAGCAGGAGGAGCAGGAGACTACAGAGTAAGAATGTCTACCTTCGACAGGGCTGTAGCACGAAGGGCAACACAGGATGACCCTTCAGCGCACATGTCAGACAGGCAGCAGAATGGAACCTCTAAAGAGAAACAAAGATGGTCTCTGTTCCCCAACCTTTACACCCCCTCAGCTGACCAGCTGTCCCATGGGGAAACGCCCCACCTCTCCATCCTTTGAGGCCACCCATTTGCTCCAGTAATTCACAAAGGAAGTGAATTACTCCCGGGGCCTTGGGCTTCAGATTCCTGCTGGGTTGGCACCAGAAATTACAACATTCACTAGTTATAGCCTTATCCCTTACTTGACCTAGGGGAATCAGGATACATGTTTCATGTTATACTGCCTAGCTGCTGTATTTTGCACCAATTGGAGCTCCTGGATGGTTTTCAAAGGGAGCCCCATATCAAATACATTGCAATCATGTACATGTGATATAACCAAGGTGTGGATAACTGTTGTTTATACAAGTTCATGACACAATGAAAGTGTCAGAACTCTTCCAGATGTTGGCAATGCTAGGTCCTGGCCCTCCTGGCCCTTCCCCTGGCCCTCCTAATGTATAGAAAGACTGCAGGGCTATCATAGCAGATGAAGAAAAAATTCCAAGAGGAAAATCAGAAGTAATCAATAGTTTGTGTGTGCATATGTGTGTGTGTGTGGGAGGGGGATTAGATGGACTGCAAACCCAAATTCACTACTGCCATTCATGTAATGGAAGAAATTCACTACTCCCGTGGTGCAATTATGTATGGATTCTGAAAGGGAAAAAAAAAGAAAGAACCAGAATTGTTGAAAGGGTCAATAAGAAGAGATTTTGCAGATGCCAGATACAGAAAGGCACCTTCTATCCTCTTGCATCACATTACATGCTTGCTTATGAAACCAGCAAGCTCTCCACTCCATGCTGCTCCTGTTGCAATGGCTCAGAAATTAACGATGGTATTGGATAGACTGGAAATAACTCACGGAAGAATCCTATGCATGTTCAGACAAGAAGAAAGTCCATGCTGACTGGAAAACACTGTGGGTTGCAGAATGTTTTTTATCCCCCAAGAAGATAAGAGGATTCTCTTTTGGTTTCAGGCAGATTGCATGATTTGGTGTTATCAGCAAACTTGGTCAACAGGCAAGTTTCAATGTTCACTTCTGAGTTCAGTTCATTCATGAACAAATTGAAAGGCATTGTGATCCCTCTCTTTGCGAACATCCAATGATAAAACTTTTCATATATTCCTACTCTGCTTTCTCTTCTTTAAGAAACTGATCCATAGTTACTGACCCATAAAAAGATCTCTCCTCTTATTCCATGATGGCTTAGTTTGTTCAGGAGCCTTTGGTGAGGGACTTTGTCAAAAGCCTCTTGGAAGCTCAGGTATACAATAGCCATAAGTTTGCCCATGTGTTTATTGACACTCTCAGAGGACTCTAAAATGTTAATGAGACAGAACCTATCTTTGCAGAAGCCACACTGGTCCTTTTTCTTTTCTCTATGTGCTTACTAATGCCTTTAACAGGACAGATGTTAAGCTAACGAGCCTGTAATTTCCTAGATTCCCACTCCCCCCCCCCCACAACCATTTTTAAAGATGGCTGTTCTACAGTCCTCCACTAGAATTGGGTCAAGTTGCTTTCTTTCATAAGAAGGTCAACAATTTCACAGTTTTTTCCTGACAACTCTTTAAGAACTCTGGTGTTGTGTGAAGGCACCAGGTCAAGGTCTCATAAAAGCAGTCCATAGCTTTGATGGGAATTCAAGCTCAGACAGTGAAGATAACATTATTGTGAAGTCTCAGCAAGCTCCAGTATCAGATCAAGGTCAGGGAATGCCTGGAGAGCAAGGAGAGGAGTTGTTAGTCCAGGCTGATGGGGATGATGGCTAACTGGCCCATGGGAATGGAAGATAGCACAACAGGAAATGAAGTTGGCAGCTGGGGCTGATGAGAGCCTGGTCTACCAATAACAGGACCAGAGGAAGAATCTGGGGCTGAGCAGGTCTCACATCAGGAATTGAGCAGTCTGTCTTGACATAGAGGTTCCTCCCCTTGACAAAGTGATGCCAGTTGCTAGGAGACAGCAAAGGCAGGAAATTCAGTTAACTGAGAAACAAAAAGAAGACTGGGGGACTAGGTTCCACAATACTCCACTTGCTGGGATGTGCTGGTGAAAGGGGTATGAAGAAGTGGGGGACTGAGGGGTGTTAGAGAGGGCTCAACACTACACTCTGGGTGAACTCAGAGATATGTAACAATAAAACCTTGTGCAAATAAACTTGGAAGTAACATTCATATTCGGGAGGAGAACTGTGCCTCACGATAACTTGGATGAATACAATCTGGGATGGGTGATTTATTAACTTTTAGTTTCAGTTTATTAACATGTTAATAAGGGTGAGAATTCCATCTTTTCCAAGTACTATCTGCTTAACTTTCTCATATTCCATTCCTGAACATTTTAGTTTAGAAACTGTATCCTCTGCAGATGAAAAAAATTGTTTAACTCCTCTGCTGTCTCCTCATCTTGCTTT